TTAACTCTGTCCTTGCCAGAACCAGGACACATCCACATGGAGAAAACATACTGATGAGCTGCCTTTACAGTAAAGTCATTAATGTATCTCTTCCTCCATACTTCGTGACCCATTTACCTTTAAGTTTCTAGCCTTTCTTGCTGCAGAATAGCATTAATTGCATTGCTCACTTTTCAAGGAGGTACGAAGTGTGAAAAATGAACGTTTGAGAGATGTGCTCTCGCACCCATTCTACTTGCAGTGAAAAATGGGTTGGTATTGCACATTTGTGTCATCTTAAACATTGGTGTTATGAATTTTCCATATTGGTCACGTTAGATATATACTGTTTGGCTGTTCCTGTATTGCATAGAAAAAAATGTCTTTTTCCTACTCATCTTTCTCTACACAGAATTGTTCTTCCAATTGTAACCGTAGGAGAGGGGCCGTGAAACAGAAACTATAGAATCAGGTTGAGATAATTAGTTTGTAACCAAGGTAATAGGTAATGAAGCTAACTAACCGTGGCAAGTGGCAAGGTGACCGTGGCAAGATACAATGCTGCTATGTTCCATGTACAGTCCCTACCAAACTGAACAATAGGGTTGGAGATATTAATCTTATGAAGTAAGTTGCTATGGACAGGTGCACCTACAACAAGGATACTGCGCATGCCTGCATGAAGGGGGTCATCCAGCGGACACGGGTGCAAGACCACTGATGACCACCAGAGACCCCTGAGGACCACCGACTCAAATCACTGAGCATGCGTGACGGGGAGGACAATATGGAAATGAATTCTAAGAAAGGATTATCATAGGACTGCCTTTTCTGAGAAAGATGATGAATATGTATATTTTGATTCTATATAACCTGTATGTTGGTGAGCACCTGGCATGCACGTTGGGTGGAGCTATCCCCCGTGCATCCAGCGCTGCAATAAAGAATGCCTGCCTTTTAACACTACATTGGTGTTACGAGGTTTATTCCCGGATTTCGGTGACACAATGACTTGTGCCACCACTCCTGCATCATGAATTCCCTTTTAAATTACATGATGCCTCTCTTGCATCTCTTTTTTGTGTTTTGATTCCTATTTGCCATACCACTTGAATTACCTGATTCTCTGATTTTTAACCCATTTTCTCTGTCTTGCTGCATTTGTTTTTGGTATCAGACCCTTTTCACTGAACTTCCCATTTGTCCACTCTTCTTCTCTTTGCAACATTTACTGAGCTTGTTATAGTGAGAATGTGTTTAAGAGCATATTAAAAATTTCATCTGCATTTTCTTCTGTTGTTTCCATCTCTGTTTCAGAACTTGGCTGTTACATCATCTGTATGATTGATAAAGATTTGAGAAAGCTTTGAGATGTGGAACAAAAATAATGTTTAAAAAAAAAAGACATTAAAAGCAGTGAAGTTGTATATTTAGTGCTGGGGATCAAATGCAAGTTCTTGTGTCAAAAGAACACATTAAGTTTAATTAGAATTTATCAAGAAGGTGTAAGAACATGCAGAGCATGGACTGTATCTCCAAGATAGTTACTCATTTGTGTTTATACTGCAAAAATATTATTTCCTTTTGTTTTGTCCGCCAACTTTATGCCCTGATAATTTGATACTGTGTAATTCCTCTTTTGCTGTATGAGATCCAAACAATCAGTCTGTTAATGGGTTCAGAAGTGGTTCCTTTGGGTTTTGTAATTTGTCGAGATAACTTGTATGTGTGATTTACAATAAAATCCTTATTTTTGTGACTGTACAAATAAAGAAATTAAACACAAGAGTTTCTATGAAATAGTATGCTACCTTAACAGCATTGCTTGTATCAGTGAGGTCTCTTGTAATGTTACCCTTTTTTATATGCAAAACATCTTCTAATTGGCATGTTTTATGATTTATTTCATTTTTTTTTCTCTGATCTCACATGTGCTCTAGCACATGCTGAATTCTTACATTTTTGACTTAGCCTGGATTAGGTATTCTGTTAGGTAGTGTGGGCTCCCAGTGCAATAAGTACAGGCTAGTGAACTGATTCTTGTATGTGTAAGGAAAAAAACATGAGAAGTGAGTAAGAGGATCATGTTGTATACAAGTATATTGTGTTGGTGAGATCATTACTAGGATAGGCTCATTTCTGAAAGTAAACACATAAACAAATCCCTGTTAGGAAAAAAAGTGATACAGATTCTTCTGTAATAACTGCAGGTCTTGGTAGCAAGCTGGGCTGGATGAAGAGACTTTTTAGTTTATCCATGAGAAGGTTAGATGTGAACTTCATTTTCTAGAAGTATCTACATAAGCAAGAGATCTCAGAAGCAGGCCTCAAATAGTACGTGCATCACTAATATGGCAATACGTAGTGGCTGACACACATTAAGGCTAGAAATAAACTGCGTGGTTTGGGCTTGTGGTGGTTTCTCTTGTGGTTTTGTTTGGTTGATTGTTTTTAAATGAGGATAACTGATTTTTGAACCAATTTATCCGCAGCCACAGTAGATTTTCTTAAATAGAATGTGTCCTCTTATGAAGATGAAGCTGTAGTAAAGGCAGAAATGTATGAATTTGTGGAAGGAATTCAGCGATGGCATTCTGTTCATATGCAGTGGTCAGACTAGATGATTGTATTCATTACATCTTCAGGCTTAAGAATCTATTCCTTTTTTAAGGCTGACAGTTAAATTTTCAGTGGCAGTTAAATGCTAAATCATTGTTTGGTTTGAAATGATCTTGTCTAAAACTAAGGTTATTGTTGTTTTTTAAATGTTTGTGGTTTCTGGAAGAAAAATTATTTATGAAGTTTCAGATGGCATATGAACTGCCATCCCTGTCTCCAAACCTTTGCTGTTCTGCACTACAGTGGCTTTAAACATTTTGCTTTATTCTTTATGTAATTTACGTTTGTGAAGAACTATACAGAAAAATACTTTCAGCATGCCTTTCCAGAACTAATATTAAAGAAGAACTTCTGCACTAAAAGTAATTTAAGATACACCATGGTATCTTACTTCAGATGACTGGGCAGACAGTTACTTTTGGCAGTATGTGTTTAAGGTGGGCATATTTTTGCTTTGAACTAGCTGAAACCTTAGGTTTTCTTCATTTGTATGGCTGGTTACCTAGTTTTGAACAGGCTTCTGGGAAGAGACAAATATTTAACTCATGCAATACCAGTATTTTTAGTAGGCTGTGCTGAACTGTGTCTCTGGTCTAGCCTAAAGCTCTCTTGAATTAATGCTAATCTTCATGTTGACTTTGGATTATACTGGGGGTTAAAGTGTGAGCTAAACTCAATCGATGGTTTCTCCAGCAATCCGTTTCTCTGGTAATACTGCATAATAAAAACTTGACAGATAACTTTTGGGTATATAGGCTTAAATGTTCCATGTTTTCTTAAGTTTTGTTACACCGTGACTGTTGTATTGTTGTATACTGTGAGTATTATGCGCTACCCATCTATCCCACGGAAACATAACCAAAATATAAAGTTGTTCTGCAATTTTGCTTATAAACTGTTGAAGCATGAAGTACTTCTTTGATTTAACATTGATTCCTTGCATGTCTTAGTGTTCTTCCATCTGCATTAATAACAATGTTTTCTTTTTACTTGCAGAAAGCCACTACTCCTGTGACAAATGGAATTGTTCAAGATGAGTTTTCTGTGAGTTTGAAGATGAGCACCTACCTAGTAGCCTTTGTTGTTGCAGACTTGAAAAACATCAGTAGGGAAATTAATGGAAGTCTGGTATGTTTGTTCCACTTTGAGTTCTCCCTCACCCCTCCCAAGCCAACAAGCCAAACAAAACAAAACAAAAAATCCCCAAACCAACAACCAAACTCTGTCTCTTTTAAATTTATTTATTTTCTTGGTTTTATTATATTCATTAAGGGTAGTGGACAAAAGCCGTATGCTGTAAATTGAACTGACTTCAGGGCTTATACCAGATTGAGAAGACTTTTACAGTGAGGGACTCAGCATCAGGTCTTGTTAACAGTGGAAATTTAAAAATGTAAAATTCCTAGGAGCTTTCAGAGCTGGAAGCTTTAAACTTTTAGTTTTAATGCTTCATCTGTGAGGGAGGAATGTCATGCAAACCAAGAGTTGTTCAGATGATGTACAGAAACATTACAGTTCCCAGGGAAGCCTACATACTGTTTCAAGCAGTGCTGCAAATATGTTTTATACCAGCAAAGATAACCTACCTAAAGAAGATCATGCCCTGCAGAAAGGCAATTTAGACTATGAGTCTGCATTTAGTCACTTGAATACAATGATTTCATTGTGGGGTTTTTGTTTTTGCAAAGATTCCGAAAATCAGTTTGGTACTGTTTGATCTTTGTCCTTCATGCATATGTGGCCTGCAGAGTCAGTAAGCAGTTCCTACAATGCGTGCAATTAAAGTGACTAAAGAAAAAACATGGTGATATTGGGAGACACTCCTTAATCTTACTTTAGGAGATGCAGGAGTTTCATGTGAGCAGTGATTTTCATGACTTTCTAGCACGAACTGCCCCTTTGTGGTGAAATGTCAGAAGTGCCAGTAACCTACCTATAAAGAGCCAGTTCTAGTAGCACTAGAAGAAGGACAAGCAGCCCTCTCTTTAATCCAATATACACAAGTAAAGATACTGGTCAATAGGCTTTGATTCTGACTTGGACAAGTATTTCTAATTATAGCTGAATAAGACAGTTTGGTCTAACCTGAAAAGTTAGACCACTACTTTCTTCTTTTATTTTTTTTCCTTGTGACTGCTATTCAGGTCTGTATTTGAACTGTGTTCTGGTAAAAGCATATAGCCAGTTCTTTACTAGACAGAAAATTGATCAGTATACTAAATGTTTTCTGTTTGCAGGGAGCCTGAAATAGTTATGTATGTGGTGTGTGCTTTCCTTTGTTCGTAATAGCAACACTAACTTGCATGGATTGTCAGTACTTCAGAAGTATTTTATGGCAGAGGCATGTAGGAGAGGAGAAAAAGACTGAGTGATGTATTCTAACTAGGGAAAATGGTTCTTAACAGTGCTTCTCCTTTTTTCTGACCGCCAAGCAAGATTTAGCCACACTAGGGAAGTCCAGCAAACCTTTAGAAGGCATCAAACACATATAGCAGTGTATAAGAGTCATTGCCAGCTTAAATGGAGAAAGTGTAAGAATGGTCATACCAAATAAGGCTGGTGTCTAGCTAGTGGGTTGTTCTTTTGGCAGCAGTGTCTAGTAGGGCAAGGGAGGCTGTAAGAAGGAAGCATATAATGACATTTTCCATGAAATGCATTCTCAAAATGCTTCCAGGAATTTGTGGCTGGGACATTCAATGAATTTGAGCTAACCAGTTCACACACGTTAAGTTTATTGTCATGGATGTTATAAGATAGCATAGAGTTGAAGTAAAGTTGCTTTGTTGCTTTATTCATAATGCAATGAGATTTTTCTCAACCCCAGAAGCTCCTGGGGAGTTTTTATGTTTTGTTTTTAGCTTAAACTTTGCAGCTAATAATACTTTTGTACTTCCAGGAACATTAGATTAGATCCTTACTGGTATGTGCTTGGTTACAACTCAAAAATTAAAAGGTCACCCTATCCATCTATTTGAAATGTCATTTGTTTACTGAATTGTAGCATAGTAAGAGGGACTTTTTTTTTTTTTTTAAAATAGAACAGGAAGATAGTCTCAACATATTTTCTGTTTGTATGTGAAAGGGCATCCTAAACCTGGATCAACCTGTACCCTAATCAAAGTTATTTTCTTAATATACCCACTTCAACATGAATAGAGGGAGACTGTAACCTCTCAATTTTTGTGAATGCTTCTTACATCATATCTAATGTGGCCATACCTTAGATAGGGGAATGGATTAACTTTGTGCCAATTATTATTTCCTGAGACAATTTATTGCAGATGATAGTAGTTTTGTCATACTGATAGCGTAAACTTATAGATTAACTGGGGTATGGAGGGATGGTTACCTCATAACTTATGAGGGAATATAAAAGAAAATGGATCGATTTTTGTTCGTGTAGACCTTTCTTGAACACCTTCCTTAAAGGTGTCAACCTTGAATACACGTTGGTCAATTGGATAGTCTGTCTGTATTTTGACTAGTGAATAAGCTCTAGTAAAAAAATTAACTTTATTGACAGCTTCATAACTTGTGTGACTTATGTGTGTACTCCAAAAAATGTGTTCTGTTTCAGAAACTTCTGCAGCTCTTCTTTTTACTTCTAGAGCTTTTGTAGCTATATGTTTCAAAGTCTTTTCTCTGTTTGGACTAGGTATCTGTCTATGCCATACCACAGCATCTAAACCAAGTTGGATATGCCCTAAACACGGCAGTGAAACTTCTGGAATTTTATCAAAAATACTTTTTAATAAACTACCCTCTTGAAAAATTAGGTAAGTTCTTTTGAACATTTTTAAACAGAAGAATAAGCCCTAATCAGTTCTGAGAAATGCAGGGGAACTTTTGTTCTGAAAAGGTGTGCTTAAAAAAAAAAAAAAGAAAAGCATAACACATCTGTGTAATGAAGTTCCCCCAAAATTATTTTAAAGAGTCTTTAAATGTTTGACTGAGTACAAGTATTAAGTGATTCCCAATGTGGAAAATTTTTGTGAGCTTTTGACACTGTATTGCTTATACTTGTACATAACAGCAAAGAAATAATTCCGTGTACATCTAACATGATGTGCATTGGTAGAGAGACACAGAATTCTCAGTCTGTGAACCATGTTTAACAGTGCAAAATCTGAAGCCTGACTTCTTGCATGTATTAGTTTGACTGGAAAGATGATGAATGCAGTCTTCTAAGACATTACTTTCAGTGTGAGCAGCCCCATTTCCTCATTACTTGTGTGCATGCAAGATCTATAGGTAGTGTCTGTGTAGTGCTTTAAGTTGTTTGTGTAAGAGTACTGCTAGAGAAACATGGCTATAAATCTATGGGGCGTCTGTGCCTGAGATATGTGCGTATGTCCACACCACAGGATTTAAGTAATGGGGTTTTTAGGGATTATGTAATAAAAGAGGTGGACTTGAAATACAGAATTGTTTTAACTAGCAATTTTCAAAAGCTTCTTTCAAATCTTTTCCAGATCTGGTAGCAATTCCTGATTTTCAGTCTGGTGCAATGGAAAACTGGGGATTGATCACCTTCCGAGAAACAACACTCTTGTTTGACAGTAATACTTCTTCAGCAAGGGATAAAAAGTTAATAACTGCAGTGATAGCACATGAGCTTGCCCATCAGGTACTAGATTGGGGAGGTCATTGTTTAAATGTAGTGGGTTCTTTTTTTGTGGGTGGTTTCTAGTTTTTTTTTAAAAATGCAGTTCTGTCCTTAAATTCACCCCTGCCCTCACTGTGACTGGGTTGTGCGTTTTATCTGTTCAGAATACCTGCAGGTGTATTTTCTGCAGTACAACAGGCAGAGTGTAACTCTGTCCTGATGTACTTAAGGAGTGGTTCATGCAAAAGCATTGCTGTGGTTGTGACTGGGCTTGATTTTTGTCGCAAGATAAAGCTAAGGATGGATGGACTGTTACTGTACTCATTTGATTTTCTTTCTCAAAAAGAAGATGATTTTGGTCTTTCATAGTGGTTTGGCAATCTAGTAACTATGGAATGGTGGAACGATCTCTGGCTGAATGAGGGATTTGCCACTTTCATGGAGTACTTCGCCATGGAGGAGATTTTTCCAGAATTACATTTAGTAAGTACTTTCTGTAACTGCGCTTTCTGTACCTTCACTAAGATCTACTTTCTAATGCTGACCATAAAGGACTAATACTTATAAACATACATTGAAATTCACTTTGGGCACCATTGAGATTATACTGTATCTCCTCTGCTTTGGCACTTTTGGAAGTGTGTGGGGGGGGACTTTGGGGAGGATACATTGGGTTTGTGTTGGGTTTTTTTTATTTATTTTGGTAGTAAACTACATGCAGACTTTGTGTTTTGTGTAGGTTAAAGCTTTCTGTGCAAAATAGCAGGTATTAAACTTTAAGGAGTATCTTTATTGTATCGTACATAGATCTTACCTTTTCATTTTTTTTATAACCCTCTACTGTATAAAGGAAACTGTATGGAGAATTTTTTGCTCAAGTCTCAGTGAAATGAAATGGACAAATGCCAGTGCAATCAACTTCTCCTATCCATGTATTAAATTAAATATCTTCATTCTAGAAGAAAAGAAAAAAGAGACTTTGGTACTAGGATCACTAGATAAGATGGTGGTTGCATTCATGCAAACATCACTGTAGTGAGCAATTTCCCTAGATTTTATACTTTAATAGTATAAGAAGTCATGCTTTTGTACTCCCTGCTTCCTGTAAATGAACTGAAAACATTCATGAGCCAAATCTGAAATTGGGCACATGCTTACTTAGCAGGTACCTTTATTTTCTCTAGTGCCAATGATGCATTTACCTGAGACAGGAGCTTAAGGTTCTGGATAACAATGTAAACACAAAAGTGAGATTCCTCTGCTAAAATGTGGCAGGGGAAGAGTAGATTTTACAAATGCTACCCTGACAATTCTTTTGCTGCCTCCATTGGCAGGATAGCAAACAATGGCATGATAGACCAATGGAAGAGCAAAGCAGAGACAACTGTACTGTTCTGCTTACCATGTTCTAGCTTCTCAGACACTTCTAAATGTTTCTCTTCTAGGATGAAGATTTCCTTAATTTGATTTTCAAGGCTATGATGAAGGATTCCTTGAATTCTTCACGTCCAGTCTCTTCTGCTGTTCAGTCTTCAGAGCAAATTGAAGAAATGTTTGATGCACTTTCGTATATCAAGGTAACTTTAAAAATATTTGGAAATATTTGGAAAATGAGATAGCTATTGAAAACATGAGTGTGGAATCATGAATAAGTAGGTATGTGCTGACAATTGTTTGGGGGTAATTTACACCTAGCACAAACAATGCAGGATCTCTCAGTGTTTCTGAGTGTCTACATACACTTTCCTTAATTAGGAAAGGATTATGTATGTGTATTTGCATGCTCACTTAACATTTTTTCTGCTTGTTGCATGCTTCAGCACAAAGTAAAATACTCATTAAGATGTAAGAGGGGACCCAGTAGGTGAAACAAATATCCAGCTAGTCATATATTCTTTTTCTCATAGCAGACTGTAACAAGTACTGAAGAAAAGAGTAACAACAAGGCACTTTACTGAAGCAATTGCTTCTTTTTATAGTCTCTCTGCTTTTAAAAAACAGTATTTTAGAGAATTCCTGAGCTGGAGGCTTGCATCTGGAATATAAAATTATTTCACTGCATATCCTGGTTGTCTGCAATTTGATTATTTCTAGTTTCTAGTGAGGGTTGTGTGTGAGGTTTATCTTTTTAAAGCTTCACAGTGCCTCACTTGAAAGATACGTTAGAGCGCAAGTATCTGTATTTGCCAAATTTTTACTCATGTTGTCTCTGGTTTTAGATACTGTGTACCATGATTTTGGTAGTATTGGAGGAAAACCTTTTATATCTTTTGGATTAGCTGTCATTTTTCCCCCCACTATCTCTGTATACTTTTGCTTTTGTCTAGTAAGAAACCATGGCCATAGCTAGTGCTTACTAGAAAATAGTCAAACACTACATCTTTCATTCAGTGGAATGCAGTTCCCACAGCTGTCTTGGTTTGTCTCCTCTGATTTCTTTTTGCAAGTCTCAACTGGTCAACACGTTGCATCCTTGAGTAGTCTGAGATCCCAAAATGACCTACAATAGTGATGTGCTTCCATTTATTTTGGTCTTTGTTTTCTGAGCTACAAGAACAGAGATGTGTGCTTTTCAGCTTCCCTTAGTTGTGGAATGCATTTGGTTTCTCTCCCTAAGCTGTATATCAAAAGGCATGGCTGTTGTTTCATACCTCAGAGTTGCTCAAGTAATCTCAAGTAATGCCCTTTGCAGTGAGTTTCTGGAAGCTACGCATCATGCACGATCATCTCTGCAGCCAACTAACTTCAGAGAGAACAGTTCTGCCGCTCTTTGCGTGATCAAAACTCTATATAATTTTAATGGAAATATTCCATAAGTGATTGGGCTGGAGTTTCAGTCAATTAGTAAAGTGTTATATTTTGAGAATTACTTCATTACTTTATTGCTAGTAACAAGTATGTGTACCTTCTAAATAGAAATGTAGCAGCCTACACCTTTGAGTTTAGGAGCTAACCAAAAGAAGTTTTGCCCTTGCATTGTCAGAAACAGGTTTTTCATGGCTGCTTTGTTTCAGAGGCTTTCATTGCATAGCTCTTCATTCATGCATGCAGTCTTTGTATTCCACTACTCTTGGCCCTATATCTTAGCTAATGCTCTTGGCAATTTGAGTGAGAAGACACTTGCAACGTGGTCCCTAATCAGCTAAGGGGACATCTATTATTGAATTGTACAACTTTCTTTGTTTTACTATATCACCAGCTGACACAGCTCATGTAGATGGCCACTACATTTTACTGTCTGGAATAGGAATTATTATACAAAATTATTTTTAGCCTAGTTGTTTTGCAGACTATCAGCAAACCTAACACTCAAGGGTGGGCAGTCAGTTCCAGCCTACTATAGCTCATCTTTTTTCTGTAATTTTAATTTTTTTATATAACTGCAAATCATATAACTGTTAAACACTGTCTCACAAGTTCAGTTCTGTATCATACAGAAGAGTATTGCTAATGAAATATGGCAGCCAGCAGAGACCTATCAGTAAGAAGACGATATTTTTGAGATTATGTTAATTGAAAAAAAAAAAAGTCAATCTCTATTATCTTGTTTTGTAATTGTATTTTGAGCCTTTGAAATATTAAAAAAAAATTTTTTCCAAAGCAAGTGAGAAAAAATTTTAAGCTGTATTAGCCTTTTTTTGTAGTTGTATTTGGAATTTATGAAATAGTAAAAAAATATTTTTCCAAGGCAACTGACTGTTAAGGCAATTATTCAAATGATATTGTTTGAGATAAAATCTGCCAGCTTCTGAGCTATTGTTGTACTGTGAAAGAGCTATAATATGCATATGCTTCAACAAGTTCTATAACTTTAATTTACCAATACTTTTTCTGGTTTTTTTCTCCCTAAAGGGAGCTTCACTTCTTTTGATGCTAAAGCATTATCTCGGTAAGGATGTTTTCCAAGCTGGCATTGAAGTATACTTGCATAATCACAACTATGGATCTGCCCGGAGTGATGATTTGTGGGACAGCATGAATGAGGTATCCATCTTTGATACACTGTTCTTTTTTTTTTCACTTCTCTAAGTGTGTTGTGAATATTTATTTATTTCCGTGTGTATGAAAGAAATAAGCTAATACACTATACGTACTATACTCTGAAGTTCTTACTCCAAAGTTCTGTCATACAGATGTGTAGATTGCTGTAGCTTCTAGGACTCCATTGAGTATCATCCCAAAAAAAGTGCTGGAAATTGGTATTTACTACCGTGCATGTCCATGTGTGGACACGTCAGTACATACATATCTTCTCTAGAGTTGCACTGTTAGTGTGCTGAAACTTTGTTTCAGTGATAGCGTCTGTTTCAACAAGTGGTACTGGAATTGCAGGAAAACAGGTTGTAGGGGACAATTTAGTTTAGCAGCTCTGAAATACTAAGGCAGACATAAGGCTGTGTCTGATCAAAGTGGGTGTGGGAGAAGAGCAACAGTGCAAGAAAACAAGGGCACGGGTAGGAGAGAGCAAGGGCAAGAGATGGCAAGCCTGTGGGAGCCAGGGAGGGCAGGGGCAAGAGGGTGCGTGTGAAAGAGGGGGGGACAGATGGCAGGAGGGAGAGAGGGGGTGAAGGAGAGAGAGAGAGAGCAAGGAAGGGGTGGGGGCATGAGAGTGCAAGGGAGAGAGCACAGGATGAGGACAGAGTGAGAGGGAGAGTGCAAGGGGGAGAGTGTGCAAGAGGGAGTGAGGGTGCAAGAGAGAGAGTGACTCCAACAAGAGCGAGCTGTTGAGTAGCCACAGGGAGTGTCAAGGTAGTTGTATAAGGGAAGGGAACAGATTTCCATAGGAGTGTGTGTACTGTATAGTACGTGTTAAAGTCTCTGAAATAATGTGAGGGTCCCTCACAGATGCTGAGTGCTAGACAGGATGCTAACAACATTTAGTTTTGTTTCTTGGCATCTACCTTATGATATTTGAACTTCTGCAGAACTGGACCCACTGTTAGTTATTGTCAGCTGTCACAAGTGGCTGTAAATTTGTGTGTTTAGTTATACACAGTCACTAGTTTGCCAGCTAGTAATGGATTATTACTGATGGCAGACTGTGACTTTCTTATGACAGAGAACTCTTCTGGTTTGTATAGTGATTTTTATAGTTCAAAATAAACTTTCCTCAACCTTTGCAAAATGGAGCCTCCTGACGGAGCCTCCTGACCAACCATCTTCAGTCATGTACACATAGAGAACGTACCACAGGGAGATGGTAGTATCTACGTACAGTGGCTAGGGAGACCACAGAGGTGCCTCACATTTAACTTATGTGAGAGGTTAAGTGTTAACAGATGCAGGATTTAACTGTTAGTAGAGCATGGGAAAAGAATCCTTCTTGAAACTTCAGATTACTTGCTTAGTCTGTCTCCCGGACTCAGAAAAGAATTTTTTTATTTTAACCCTACTGTTTGTCAATGGGGCAAGTTCAGCTTTTCCGCAAACTCAGCAGACCTCTTTCTCCAGTCTTTTGGAACCTCAGTCATCATCTTTTAAGAGTCAAAAGTAATTGTTAGCAACTCTGGGATTGCTTAACTCACCTATATTAATATTGTAAAGTGAATCACATCCAATCAACTTAGTAACATCTAATGTCAAAACTCAGTGTGAATTTCCTGGTTTAATGAGAAACATCCCTTTGGTGCTAATTTAATAGTTACCAAATTACTGCTGACACCAGGTATTTAACAGCATTATCTACCAGAAGTTGCCCTTCTGTGTGGAGGAACCCACCAACTGGTTCTTTAGCTGTTTTCTGATGCTGCTTACAATATTTGCCTTTTCGTCTGTGCCCATTTCTAGCTGCACCTCATTTTGTGCCTAAGGCTTTGTTTGGTGGTTATTTTCCATTTAAGTGTTAATGCTGTTAATTTTGTGTTTTCACGTAGCCCGCACTTTCGTACACTTTCATATTTCCTTTTTCTAAAGACTTATGGTATAGCTGGACTGGTCTGGTATTGCAGTAAGTTAGTTTACATTTAGGGCTTTTATTATTGCTTCCCTGAGAAGGTACCAAATTTTCTGCGCTACGTTCTTTCCATTGATTTTCACCTATTGCATCTCTGAATTTACTGAAATGTACTGCCCTGTGTCCATTTTCCTTTGTTTTGATACTCTTTCTGTCTTAATATTTTTCTTTTTGTACCTTGAATTTTTACTTTCTCTTGCTTTCTAACAGTCTTTCATTTTCAGATTCTCAGCCAGACTCTGTTGGTTAACAGTCAAATCTAGAAAGGCTGTATCTCTGATTACTTTCTCTGCCCTTGGTATCAAAAGTTAATCCATTCTGCAAACTTGATGAAAAGTCTTTGCTCAATAGTATTTTCCCCCAGTAGGTGTCTGAATAATTTAAACTATAGGAACTAGATGAATATAAAATATTGTGTACCTATGTGGTCTTTGAGTTGACTGATACCATTATTAGTGCCCTTGGATTCCATCCAGTGCCCAGATCTGCTAAAAGTTTCTTTCAAAGTTTTATCTTCATTATACAGTAGGCCATATCTCTGTCTGGAACTCCTTGATTCTTCTCAGTTTTAGATGTGAACTATTTCACTGAGTCTCCCTTATGACAAATAAATTGTTAGTATTATCATGTATTGTGATCTTTGGTATCCTTTTTGGTTGTTTACTGTATTTATGGTAATAGTAAAAACAAATTTATGATATTCAGCAAATTGACTGGCTCTTTTTCCTTTGCTCTCATTAATTATGCCTAGGCTAAATGTGCTTGAAAATTCCAGCCATAAAAGTGGTGTTTTCTTTGATCATAAATTTTCACTGTCCACACAGCAAAATGCACAATCATTAACTCTTAACCTTCTCTGTGGAAATCAACAATCATGGTTGGAGTAAAGATGAGAAACTGAATGAAAAATCTGTAGCACAGAAAGCAAACTTCTTGTATGCTTTGCCTAGAGAAAAGAAGGATGAAGTTATTTTCATGAAGTTGCTTTCATTGGAGTTAGGAGCAGCTGTTGAAAGAAGATATGTCAATAAAACCAATTCATGTCAATAAATTTTTTGCTATGATGAAACTATGAACCTATAATTTCTAATAAATTGGTTTGATTTCAGGTGATCGGGGAAAGTTCTATTTTGGAATAAAATTATTTCAGTGGAGCAAATTTCAAATTTACTTGTTTCTGTACAGATCAGACACAAATCTTTCTGCCAGTCTTTAGGTGACTTACAATGTTAGCATGGAAAGACTCTTGCAAGTTAGCAAGGTGCAAATACTAACCTTAATTAGTTTCCCAATCTCTTAACAGTACTGTCATCTTGGGTTTGGGTTTTTTTGGTTTGGGTTTGGTGGGGTTTTTTGGCTGGCTGGCATTGATCTTACAGATTTCTTGGTGGTTTCAAAGTGTAACAGGAAGGAGAGGAAAAGATAGTGGCAAAAGAAATTGAGAGCATGCATTCAGCACATCTTGGGCAATTTATGAAGGGATTGCATAATGTAACATTGTAGTAACAATGTTAGCTTATGGATAACAGGAGGGAAGAAGAGGAATTAGCCAACAGCGGGTTTTGGGAGTATGTAAAAAATGAAAAAAAATTTTAAACTTTTGATAGCGAATTGCTTTCCCGAAATTGAAACCCCTATTTAAAGTTTATGGTCATTTTCTACATAAATAATATAGCATTTTTCCATGAGGGTAAACTGTATGTATTATTGTTGGCTTGAACAGTGGGCAGTAAGTTGCTGATGAACTAGAACTAGAGAAAGGCACACTATAGGTTGGTAAAAGTTAAATGTAAAAGGAATAATGATATATTAATTTCCCTATGTTCTTGATGGCTCAATCTAAAACATATTTTTGTAAGTTAGGGGACATACTGTATTTTTCAGGTTGGATGATAATTTCTGCTACTAAAGAGGCAGTAATATGTAAACATTATAAAGTACTTGTCCCTTAGTGGGGATGATGTACAAACAGTTCCTGAAAGATTAGAAGAGGTTGGAGGTTGATGTTTCCAATTTGTCTTTCCACTGCCCAGGTAGGATTCTCTCAACTTAAGAAAATAAAAAACACTTGCTAAATTGTTACTTATGAATTTACAACCTCAGTGTCAAAGTGATGTTTTACAGATGCAGAATCATGCTACTACTTTGTAATTTAAGAAGGAAGGTTTAAATACATTCTCTATTTGCCATTTTCTTGTTATGTTACGATTTTTTACAGATCACCAATGGAACACTAGATGTAAAAAAGTTGATGAAAACTTGGATTCTGCATAAAGGATTTCCTTTAGTCACTGTTGTCCGAAAAGGAAAGATTATTTCTGTACAGCAAGAGAAATTTTTGTATTGTGTGGATCCAGAAAATTGGACATCAGACGCAAGGTTACTTACCTTCTTAATACTTTTTATCCATTAAAATCTACCTGCAGATGTCTTTCTTGTATCTTGTACACTTGTAAACAGGGGTTCCAGTATTATCTTTAAAGGTAGGCAGTAATAGAGGATTTGGCACAGAAATTCACATGTCTGCTATCTGGCTGAAGATCCATGTTTATTTCCAATCAAGCAACTGGTAAAAGTCTGTGACGTCCTTTGTGAGCTGAATTTCTTATTTGCATCCTTTCCTGAATTTTTAAGCTTGAGATGAGTTGTGATAAATAGTAGAAGGAATTCTTCAGGCTTTTTAGTACCAAAAGACAGATCTCACATGTAAAGTTTTCTTTTAATATCAGAAAGTTTTGTGTCGTTATTGAGAAGCTGTAGAAGGGCAGGTTGCAGAAGTTTGCAGAAGTTACAGATGTGTATAGCAATACAGATGTATTGCTTTAGAGCCTCTGCTCCTTCCTGCCAAAATTCAGTGTACATCTTGGGCTTTGTTAGAGGAAAGTAGAGAAGCTAGAATCAAAGCTTTCTTGGCTTAAAAATTTTAAGATGGCACTAATGCGTAACAGCAAATGTCTGAATATATGAGAGGCAATATCCATTGTACCAAAACCTAAAGGGAAGTACATATGCAAATGCTGAAGAAGAAAAGATATGGCAGTTGCTAATTATAAAAATGAATTTACTGCAAATATATCTTGTATTATGAACCTTACCCTATTTTGTAACAAAGCAAAATATGTAGGTTTGAATATTTTTCAGATTTTGGTGGTTTTATTCAGTTGTTTGAAGTCTTAACAGGAACCGAGTCCTTTGCATCATCTTGCAGTATCAGGCCTGGGAGAGGAATTTGTCTCTTGAAATGTTGGAACTTGTGCTTTGTTTTATTTTTGTTATATGGAGGAAGGAAAGTGGTGTGTGTTTGAAGGGAAGAAGAGAAGGATGGGCAGGCTTAATTACTCTTCTGTTTCTAGTCGATGTCAATTTGGGGAGTGCATGAAAAGCTTTTGAAGAAATTGCTCTGTGTGAGTCCTACACAGAGGAGATCCTTGTCAAAATCGGAATGCATATATGCAAGTTGTTTCATCTCACTCAAAGTTGTGTTTTCTCTAAATAGTCAAGTCCACATCATCATTGTGGGCCATCATAGCATTTATTCTTCCAGCTTGCAATTCACTTGAGGCAGTCTTTGTGGTATCAACTATGGTTTCTATTACCATGATTTGGAATTTGAGTCTTGTACTTGAATCAACATAAGTTGTTTTTTAAAAAAATAATAGAACTTGCAAAATTTCAGGAAGACAGAACATTGGACTGAGGTGAAAATAATACTGGCTGAATTTCTGATACAGCCAGAGATTTCCTGTCCATATGACTTTGGACAAGTTACTAAACATGCAGAACTGAGGAAGAAGTACTAGGAAATGTGGTGTCCCTAAGGGGTCTGTACTGGGACCAGTACTGTTTAATGTCTTCATCAGTGACAATGAGATTGAGTGCACCCTCAGCAAAACTGCAGATGACACCAAACTGTGTGATGTGGTTGACATGCGTGAGGGATGGGATGACATTCAGAGGGACCTGGACAAGCTTGAGAAGTGGGCCCATGTGAACCTCATGAGGTTCAACAAGGCCAAATGCAAGGTCCTGCACGTGAGTCAGGGCAACCCCTGTTATCAATACAGGCTGGGGGATGAAGGGGTTGAGAGCAGCAATGTGGAGAAGGACTTGGGGTTAGTGGTGGGCAAAAAGCTGGACATGACTCGGCAATGTGTGCTTGCAGCCCAGAAAGCTAACTGTGTCCTGGGCCGCTTCAAAAGAAGTGTGGCCAGCAGGGAAGTGATTCTGCCACTCTACTCCTTTCTGGTGAGACCCCACCTGGAGTACCATGTCCAGCTCTGGAGCCCTCAGCACAGGAAAGACATAGACCTGTTGGAGGGGGTTCAGAGAAGGAGCACAAAAATGATGAGAGGGATGGAACACCTCTCCTATGAGGACAGGCTGAGAGAGCTGGGGTTGTTTGGCCTGGAGAAGAGAAGGCTCAGGGGAGACCTTATTGCGGCCTTTCAATACTTAAAGATGAGGACAGACTATTTAGTAGGGCCAGTAGCGATGGGACAAGGAGTAATTGTTTTAAATTAAAGGAGTGTAGATTCAGATGATATAAGGAAGAACTTTTTTATGGTGACGGTGGTAAAACACTGGAAGAGGTTTCCCAGAGAGGTTGTGGATGCCTCATCCCTGGAAACATTCAAGGTCAAACCGGAAGGGGCTCTGGGCAAACTGACCTAGTTGAAGATATCCCTGCTCGTTGCAGGGCGGTTGGACTAGATGACCTTTAAAGGTCCCTTCCAACCCAAACCATTCTACGATTCTGTGAAATTTTCCCACTTCTCAACATGGTGGGAATAAAAAAATAATTGCTGTACATGCTGTACATGTATTCTTTCATCATATTCTGATTGTATGAGTGAGATTTATACTTTATTATTTTATATAGCATGCAGTGGTTCTAATACTACTAATATATTAAAATTCTTGAATTAAAAAAACCCCAAACACTTCAAGACAAATAATAAATGTATAATACGTCAGTAAACATTTGCTTTCCTTTGCAGTTATCTGTGGCATATTCCTCTGACCTACATAACTAGTAGCTGCAACTTGACCCATTGTACTAATGCGTATTTACTGGACCAAAAGTCAGGTATGTGACTCAAAATTTCAGTAGCAAGGTACTTAAGTATTACAGATTACTGCTCTTTCTGAGCACATACTTGCATAAGATGTGAAGATGAAGGCATACAT